CAGTATCCTACAGTAAAGACTGCTATTACTTTAGCATTTTATATAATCATTGAAGGAAGTTAGTCGACAACCAACAATGGAAGGTTGTGGGTCATCATCAGGACATGTTACCTGTGCTGAAGGTGTTCAATTACTCAGCTGAAATACCCTGTTCGACTACTGAGTACTTGAACACCTTCAGTACAGTTAACATGTCCTGATGATGACCCACAACCTTGGATGTATACGTTGGCAATAAAAAAATCGATGATGGTAATTTCGAAGCTAGAGATTTAATTAAAATCATAGACTTCCATCTTTATGGGACAGTGGGGACGCGTCCCGTCCCAATGTTTCAAATAGTCCCATTCGTCCCCCACCTATATTTTGAATGGTCTTGGGTATTTTAATATGCTGTAAGAGCACAAAATTACTTAAAATCTTACATATAAGAGAAGATGGCTGGGGATTGCAGTCATGGAAGTCACAAACATATATTATTTTTGCCGACGTTTCGGTCTAAATTTCAGGCCTTCTCTCAGGTCTACACAAAGACCGGATACCACCGTGGAATATATTTCTGAACATTAAAAGGTTTATTTTCATACTTTTCTCTATGTTCTAACTTGTATTATTTCAACAAAAACTTTGTCAAAGAAAGCTTAAAAAAGTACGTATAATATTCAGTCCAAGACAGAGAGAGAGATGGAACATGCTTGTTAAGGCGGCAAAAGACTACATGGTCTGTAATGACGACAGAAAAATAAATATCTAATAAAAATAATCAAAAATTGTGTACATAACTGTTAAAAAGTAGATGAAGAGTTATCTTTAGAATGTGTTTCAAAAATGTGTTGTTGTTTTGTTTATGAATGATTGTTTGTTTTTTTATTTTATTTTATTTCATTTCTTGTTTTTATTTCAGTTTTTGTTATATATATTTTTTAATGTATTGTATGTATGGTATGAATGTGTCTCACTTAGCTCTAATATTTAGTGCTCTTACGTGTGGAAATACATGTTATTTCTTAATAAAAAGATAAAAGGAAACAAAAAAAAGTTTGTTCATATTTTAAAACTTCTTACGATTGTAATGATGTTAGATATTAACCTTCTATATACGTGGATTGGTTAGAAATATCCTTAAATTGGATTGCAGTTATAAAAAAAAAAAAATGCAATTGTACCGTCGCTGAATTAACTAATAGCAGACTCATCGCCCATAAAATTCTCTCAATTATATAGCATTATGAAATAAATAGAAAAGCATAACGAGGAGACTCGTTCAAATTACAAGATATAAATAATACACGGAATATTGGGTAATTACATGAACACAATCGATATCTATAAAACAAGATTAATTAATTAATGAAAGAATGGAAACTAGAACAATAATAATGTTGTATAATTTAAAAAAAAAAAAAAAAGAAATCCAATCTTTGCCTGAAGAACAGTCGTTAAAATAATTAGACTAATTTATTAAGTTTGTTATTATCTGGACTTCCTCCTTCTGCGTTAATCACAATTATAAAATCTTAACGAAGCCCATGGATTAAATATGGTCTAAGAGTTTTTTTTAAATTATTTATTTCACAATAATCTTTCTTTCTAGAGGCCTCATTTACCCTTTCTATAGATCACAACTCCGCTTGTCAAGATTTACCATGTCCGAAAACCTACGGATTATTCTCAATAGGTCTCTCTTTATTCTAGTATCTCCAGTTACTTTTTTCTGACTTATTTAGAACTATTACAGATTTGTCAAATACACCTGATCTAATAAATTATTTCGATTTTACGGCCTTCATCACAAATGAACTGCACCAAAATGATGATGAAGAGTGAGAACAAAAAAATTAGACGTTCCAGAGGACATTACATGAAGTTAGTGTTGACCAAATGCGATACCAAGACTCGTCTTGCACACTCAATCTTGGTCTTGCGCTAATAGTCTCGCAACAGTCTTAATTCGCAGTTATCTATTAGCTTGATTCTATATAGATAGTATTGTAATTTTTCAGCTATGGAAAACTTAACTTAACCCGAATGAAAAATTGGAGGAGCTAAATGCAAAGCTAAATGCCTTAATTTTTATTCACAAAAATAATATATATATTTTGTACCAATCTTGGTCTTTCTCTTGCCTGAGTTAGGCCGTCTTGGTCTTGCAAAGTGCAAGACCAAGACCGATTTTGGGCAACACTGCATGAAATATTAAAGGCTAAATATTTTTTGTTTATCAAATAATTAATATTAATTTTCAAAAAAACATTTATTCTTTTATGATATCTAAATAATAATTGTTTTTTTTTTCATTAAAAGTGACTGGGGTGGGAGGGGGAGACTTAAGTAAAAAAATCCGGTACTTTTAAATTCATATCTTTGTTCAACAATAAAAACTTTTTCTTATCCACAATTAGTTACGTAATTTAAGATGAATTTATAAAGAATAAATAAATATTTATTTATTTATATTTAAAAGTATATTATATGCGATTTTGTAAGTGTGGATTATGTAATTGCCTATTTATAGGGTCGTGCCTTGCCCCTTATAACTCAGGATGAATTTATTTTTATATAAAAAAAAGGTATTTAAATTAAAGTTTTCTTCTTATGATAAAAGTATCTTTAATTTGTGTGTAAGAAAGATATTTAAAATTAACAAATAAACATAAATATATATATATATATATATATATATATATATATATATATATATATATATATATGAAAAGCATAACGAAAAGACTCATTAAAGTTACACGATACAAACATAAGTATATAATACAAGATATAAATATATATAAATAAATAGGAACAATAACGCCTGTTTCCTGACTCTACCTACAGGTCTATTCCCTATCTCAATTAAGGATACCTGAGAGAGTGTATAGTAGGAATAGTCTTCCGACCATGAAATAAGCTAAGAATAGGTAATTGTCTGTCACAGCAGGACTCGAACCTGGACCCTTGATAAAAGAGTACCTTACCTACTGAACTATTCCAGCATTAACTCTCTTTCTAACAAACTCGGAAAAAAAAATAGTATTTCCTCTTTTCCAAATTCTATTCATTTGTAATAAAATTGATCTATGTATGTCTGTATGTGAACTGAAAACCTCAAAAACGAAAAGTGGAATTATTTATTTTGGATAGGTAAATCCCCGGTACATTACAGCAACATTTTTGCTGACAATAACATCTAATGACATTAACTTAAAATTTATGTAATCGAAAGATGGTTTTGAAAGGACTTTTTCCTATGATGACGATGTTCTACGAGCTTTGGTCGAATAAAATCCCAAAAGAACTTTTGGAGAACTCACAGAGAAAGTTTTAATTAGGAAATCGTCCATCGCTGACCGCCTCAACGCAATTGGAAAAAGCTTGAGACTTGGGTTTCTCCTGCATAACACGACTGCCAAAAAAATTCCCTTTATGAAGTTTCCGCTACTCTCATTTCTCGAAACAGAAACAAACTTAATTTTTAAAATAACAAAATAAAATTTTCCATCCTGCTCTTCAGACTCCTACAATTTTTTAGGCAGACATCTGGGCCACTTTATAGTTAGTAAAAATTTTATTGATCAAAATTCGTTTGAAAATTAATTTTCGTAATTTAATAATAACGATTCTACATTCAGGCATTCAATATTCATAGGAAATAGAAAAGTTCCTAACAAGTCCCGACCGGCACGGTGGCAGGAATGTATTGAGATTGATGCAGCGTATTTTGATTAATTTTTTTTAAATTATTATTCTATAGTTAATACATTCTGCCACATTGGAGGGCATTAATATTAGGGCTACATTAAACATTCACACAATATATACATACAAATGATAACTGAAATAGAGATAAAAAAAAAAGGGTTGTAGAAAGTAAAATAAGAAAATTAACATGCATATATGTAAAAGAAAAAAAAATTAGAGAAACTGAATGAAATTAAAATATATAAAACACATTCACACTTATATACAATAATTTTGACTGATAAAAATAGTTTCATATCATTGATTTTATTTTTATTTTTTTTTTTTTTTTTGTCTTTTTTAGAACCACTGACTTGTATTAATTTCCCGAAAATATTCAAATTTCTATTGACAGTCCTATAATTCACAGATTTATCCAATTTTTGTGCATTATGAATAGCCTCAAATTTCTTTCTTTTAAAGCAATTATATGTTCTCTTTCTGCTATTTTCGAACATTATCAAAATCAATAATTATGAATGAGTGAATGAAAACGTGTTTATTAAACTTTAAAAACAAATTATACAAAGTAAAATATATATGTACAAGCAACAACACATAGACAATGGAAAATTCCGTCTGTCAGGTCTGTGTGTAATTAATAATAAATATTCATCACATTTATAACTAAAATAAATGATCAATAATATATCTACAGTATTATTATGTTTTTATACATCCATTCTAGCAATTTTCTTTTTCACTGTCTCATTTGTTTAAATAGAGTTTTCAAAAAAACAAACATTAATACATCACAAATCCAATAAATAAGAAATTTAAATTCAATAATAATAATAATAATAATCATCAAATACAATAAAACAAACTTTACAATAAATAAACACGATATTGTATCAATATTTTACTATCTGACTAATTGAGATCTTTGCAATGTGTCCTGATGTACATAATTGCTTAAGGCTTTCCAGTTAGAAAGAACCCTTTAAGAAACCAAATAATTCTTCTAGAGAACAGGTCCGCTGCCCGAAACATTTCTCTCTTCAATAATTATAATAATATAGGTATAATTTCATATATTAGGTTTTCCTATAAGTTTAAATCAGATTGTTGCTGAGTTTGACAGAAAATTATATTCATATATGTTGAACGTTGAGCCAAAGCAATCTGTCGAATACTTGTTTGTCGGATATGGAAAAAAATGAGAGCTGAAAAGGATACAGGAGGCAAGGCATGGAGCCCTTGTGTGCCGACAATAAAGATTCATAAGGGGAAATTGGCATGGGGGGATAGAGGGGGGGTTATTAATGCCGCGGCGCATGCGCGGAGGGCGGCATTATGGTAATCGAGGTCGGACATTGAGCACTCTTCCCACTGGCCGCCGTGTAATTATCTTCACTAAAACTTTATCAGCTCATCGTCTACATTGTTCACAATACTAATGGCAAAAGATAAAACTTTTTATTGCCAATTTTCTCTACGCTCGCCTTCTATCACTCTCCTAATTTCTTACCCACCCTGAATACGAATTCATTCGTTTTTTATCTTTTTCTTTTGTTGATGCCGGATCCAGGGCAGTTCATTATGAAAATTGTTTATTTCGTATGTTCCCTCCCCACCCCCTTACTCACAACTTCAATTCGTTTTGACCTTTATCAATGCTCTTATGAACATTAGAGAAACAAAATATAACCCGTTTCCATTTGGATATTAGCTTCGCAAATTTGTAGAGTAAACTCTTATCCATCTTTCCTAATTATACAATTTATCCATATTTCAATTCAATCCACGTTTCAATTTATACAATATATCTATATCATCCATATTTCATATTTATATAAGGCAATTTGATCACCATAGCTTTATTTATTAAATCGTTTTATTTTTTTGTCATTTAAAATAACTAAATAAATAAGTCTATGTTGGCCGAATGACCCTAAAATTGTGAATACATGAAATAGCAATGACAATGTCTCAAATAAGATAAATACATAACAAATATATATATATATATATATATATATATATATATATATATATATATAAATTTATATTTATTTATATGAATGTTATGAAAAAATTAATAAATACATAAAATTTTTTATTATTATCAATAAATAATCGACTTCTTCTCACTTCTCCTCCATCACAACTAAATTTATATTTTAAAACTTCGAGTTAAAAAAAAATTATTTTTTCCTTGTGATCAAGCACTGAAGTGAAACCGTCTAAAATATTTGTATAACAGATGATGATTTTTACATAACAAAAGTATTTCTTAATTTTTATTTAACCAATTGTTTATTTTTTATTATAAGTTCAAGTGTTTGGGACATTTATACGTGTTATACCACGTGACGTAATTCTAAAAATTATAAGGAATGATTTAGCAGATAGACGATAGAGGAATTTAAAAAAAATTATATATATAAGAAATCAATAATAAAAATTCGAAAATTATTTCCATCAGCATAGATTAAATATTTAGGTGGACTTAATACTTAAGAATAAAATCTTTTTTTTTTTTTTTTTATTGAATGTTCAGATATTTTTGTCACCCTTAGAACGATATGAACTGTGCAGTCGTAAACAAGGATGTTACGTTTCTATTCATTTTGTCCCTCGCTTACACACCTATTGTAAGGGAACAGTTAAAATCATTTACACATATGTAACGCTACTTTTGGTCCTCCGTAACCGGATTGGACCTAAACTTAATTTACTTCAATATTTATCATTATAAATTAAATTTTAATTACTTGTTGTACTTAAACAACATACATATTTTCTTGAATATTTAATGTAATTGTTTAAAAAGGTAAAACATTTCACTTTTTTTCTCTTTTCCAGGTACACCCATCAATCGTCTTCCGATTATGGCAAAATCCGTCCTTGATTTGTTTGAATTGTACAATCTCGTCATCCAAAGGGGAGGTCTTGTTGACGTTATAAATAAGAAACTTTGGCAAGAGATAATTAAAGGACTCCATCTACCATCCTCGATCACATCTGCAGCTTTTACTCTTCGAACCCAGTAAGTATAGTGTTATTTAAAAGTCAATTATGAAAAAAATCAGATGAAAAACTTATGATAATGATTCATTTAAACCTATATATATGTATATATATATATATATATATATATATATATATATATATATATATGTATATGTATGTATGTATGTATTAATTAGATTTCGTTAGAATAAAATTAATTCTTTTGGGGGTATTATATTTTTTTATTTAAGGAAAAAATTAACCCTTCAAAATTCAAGAACAATTTATCGATTCATGAAAATAACGTTTCGATTCTACAACAGTTGAGAGATTAACTCTTTATCATAAAATGGTGCTTCTCAACTATAATGGATTGCTACAGATGCAGCATAGGAATGAATTTGTTAGACAATATTTTAAAACATATATATATATATATATATATATATATATATAATATTTCAATGTATACAAATATAGTTAATTTAAACATATATCTATAATAAAAATAACAAAGTATGTCCAATAATTAATATTTTAACAAGGGGAGCACTGTTATTAAAAATAGTTGTAATATGAGCTAATAATAATATTGCATATATCGATAATTCTAGAAATAACTGTAGTTTAATAATAATGTGTAATAAAGTGAATTACATTACATGGTATAATCTCACTAGGGGATCCACAGGAGACTATCGGGCAACCCACACAAAAAACAAAAAATTGAAAAATAACGTAAGCGATCTAACCTAAATGTTTAAAATAATCACAATGTGTTCTTTTTTTTTTTTTTTTTTTAATTTTAATGAATGTACAGGCACTAGACGTAACCATGTATTATGAAAAAAATATTTCTAAAAGCATTATTGCACGTGTCATTACAGTTTTTTTTTTAATGGCCTTCAAGGATCATTTCATAAAAATAGTTTCGTTTCTGTTTCTTCCGTAAGTAATAATCATTATATATACAAAAAAAAAAAGCTTTGGGCTGAAGCCTCCCTCCCCCCCCCCAAAAAAAAAAAATTGAATCCCGGATCGCATTAAATCCTAAATAGTAGAATCTATGCAATTATATTTAATCCAATTTTTTTTTTAAAATCCGTTTAGCCATTACGAAGGAATTGCTCTAGCGGTTTTAGAACAACTAAACTTAGAAATTCAAATATTAATTATAACGCCAAGCGAGCCCGAGGGTTGTTTCTATATTTAATTTTTTATTCTTATTTATGACATATTTTTAACATCTATAATTTGACAAAAGTCATAATGTACTGTTAAGATATAATTGGAAGATTCACACACATAAAGCCTTGAGTCTTTTAAACACAGGCACAGAACCAAAACGTCAACGCTTCTCCAATTCAGGCGAATCATCAGGACAAGATCCCTTTTATCTATGTATATATATATGTGTGTGTGTGTGTGTGTGTGTGTGTGTGTGTGTGTGTGTGTGTGTGTGTGTGTGTGTGTGTGTGTGTATGTGTGAATATATATATATATATATATATATATATATATATAGAGAGAGAGAGAGAGAGAGAGCGAGAGAGGCTTTATTTTGCTCCTCTAAACATATATATATTTTGTAAATTAGAGTGTTTCTAACTCTATCACATAGGTATATGGATTTATGAAATAGTAGTGCCGAAAAACAAAAAGCTAAAAGTATTTTTTATCAGTAAACAGTCTTGAAGGTGGGTCCGAAACGTCATCAGATCTAATGAAATGGGAGTTTTGAAGAGGATTAATTTTTTTTTTCTTGAAATCAAGGATGCTTATCTGGTTCATAGGCTTCGTTCTGTCTCAATCATTTGGAGAAGTGTGATATTTAGTGCAACTTCTCTTAGCGGACAATTCTTCATTGCGGACAAGTTTTATAAACCCTATCAAATTTTAAATTATTTAATACTATTGAAGTCTGCCTCATACCTGACGCTCTCTGTAACGGCCGTGGGCGGGCTTGAGTATTTTAATTGTTAAGTGTCCCCATAACGGAGAACAGGAAAGCAGTGAATATCATATTCTTATCTATATTGAAAATTCGGCCTGGTGGTATGATTTCATCTTACATTGTTGATTTTTCTACAGATTTTATTGCCAGTACGTGTCAATTTAAGTACATTACTCGTGAAAAACTTAGTATTCGCTAACTATTCAACTATCTAAAAATAAGGTATGATATTTTTATTTTAAAAAGAAAATAAACAATTTTATAAAACCTCAGACTTTACCATAGAGGTCTAGTAATATCCTTCTACAGGGAGTAGTACAGAAAAATACGATCGAGCCAACGAAGCTAAACTGGAATTAATTTTAGACAATGGAATATTTACGCTCCTACAATAATAGTGAACATATTTATTCTTATGAATTTTGTAATACAATAAATTTTTGACCTGAAAACTTCTTTAGGGGCTCTCAGCACTAACTTCTTTTTATGGATATTGAATGAGAATAAGCCGGCATGCTCGGCTATGTTACGCTCATTCGTGTAAAGTCGGCTCGTATCGACTTGTGCATTTGGATTGAAATATCTCAGAAACTAAAAATCGGGCTGATGTACTATCGGCAAGGGAGATGTTCAGCATTTTATCCTCTTTGTAATGAATGACCTTTGAGCTATTATTCAAAAATTGTATTTTGACATGACGCCGAGTTAGAGAAAATTGGGAATGGAAAAGGATAGCACAAAAAAAAAAAAAAAAAATGAAGGAAATGACAACTATTTTGAACATTTGCATTCAAATATCTCAAAATTTAAATACTATGAAGAATTCAGAAACCAATTTGCAGAAGTCAATATAGATGTTTTATTTATTTAATTAGCCGCAAAAATAAGAAATTAAGTGTTTCTATTCGATTTTCTGTTGCACTCGATAGTGTTTTGACCCTCGTTACAGAAGTTTTATTGATGAAAATGTACCAATAATTGACTTACACTAATCGACATCTCATTTTGGACGAATGTATAAATATTTTTCTGTCAAAGTTTTTATTTCTATCGTGTGGTCTTAAGTACACACCTTAGTTTTTTGTTTGTTTTTGTTACGCTCGTATATGAATATACGGACCAATCAAATATTGGTTGGGACGAATTGGACCATTTCAAACATTGGGGGAAGAGGGAGGATGACGCGTTACAACAAGAATCGACGCCAGTAATCTGTAATTTCCTATAAAATCACTAAATTGAATGTATCGTGTGAATTTTTTTTCTTGTTTCTCTACAAAATGACCCAAATGTTTGTATACAGATCCTAAATTTTTTTAGGTGATGACTACTCAGAAAGCAGTTATTTTTAATGTTTTTGCCAAGGTTTCAATACAAGCTTGTGGGTCATCATCAGGGCATGTGTTACCAGCACTGAAGATGTTCAAGTGAGTACTTGTACACCTTAACGTCGGCAACAATAAAAATCTTAAAAGGACTGGGATCTGACTATTTTTCAGTTGTGATGTAGAACAGTCGGTTAACTTCCTTCACTAATATATTTTAATAATTGCGGGGGAAGTTATTGGCGTGACGGAATCGGCTGGAAGCGACCGTAGATCCTGAAATAATATTGCTGGTATAGAGACGACGGTGCTTTTTGGCAAGAGTACAACGGATCTTATCGAAATCCAATCTGTTACGAATCGGAGCTGAGTTATATTGGTCCTGTTCAAATCATCAGTCACTGTCAGTCAGAGCCGGCCTGACACCAGAGAGATATAAATACTAGCTTACTTTGATCCATTGTCGCTTTTCCCTTCCTTACCTTCTTTTTTCATTAATAACTACGTCTTCTACTCCCCTATCCTTATTTACCTAGACTTTCTTCTAAAGTTCATTCCCTCTCACGTTGCGTCTGGATTTTCGGAGATGAAATCATTAGCAGTTGGAGCTCTGCACTTTATTTATTTACTTTTTTTTTAATTAGTAAGGTAAACTTACCAGTAACAGACACTGTACTAGTTATAGACAGATTTAAACTCATAAACAGACAATAAGGTTTATACGCTTAAAAAAGAATGAAAATATCAGTTTTTTTGAAGTTAACTCACTTAAGAGGGCGATGCCTGAACCTCAAGTGATATGCCGTAATAGCCGATGGGCAAGGTAAATGTACCGGTAATAGACGCTTTAAAAAAATAGTCAACATTAATGTTCAGACGGTTTATCTTCGCAAATGAGTTTAATTAACAGTAAATTTAATCTTTTATTACATTTTTTTATGTACAGTCAATTAGTTAATTATTCATGAAACAAATAAGTAATTCTGACAGCGTATTTTGCACCAGTAATAGACACTCAGATTTTTGGGCTAAATAGGTTTTTTAAATAATTAAAAAAATAAAAATAAATGCTCCACTGTTTCAAACTAATAAATAGCAAACCACGTATGAATGAAAAAAAACTTCGAACTTATATTCCAAAATAAAAAGTAATTAGGAAATCTCCTTGAAACAAATCCTAGCCTTTTGTTATTAAAAAATCAACTGTCAATCGACTATTGATGCATAATAACACTTGAGGTTTAGGCATCACCCTCTTAAGTGTTTTAACTGCAAATTTACTGATATTTGCACTCTCTTTTTGGTGTATAAAGCAAAAGTGTCTATTGCTAGTATCATCAATAACAGAAATTGTTAATTAATATCTAAATAAGATATATAAGATAAGGTTTATTTAATTGAGGATCTATATGAGTGATAAATTAAGCAGAAGTGCTTGATATCCAATTTGTATATGTCGCGCCTCATATAAAAGGTGAATGCACCAGTAATAGACAGAGAAATTTTCAACGTTAATGTGAACCACTTTCTTTGCAAATAGGTATAATTGGAAGCAAATTAAGTTCTTTAATTGTATTTTTTTTTTAAATATACAATTAGTTAATTATTTCAGAAAACATAAGAAATTCTGACAGCGTATTTTGCACCAGTAATAGAAACTCATGTTTTGTGGTAAATAAGTTTTTTATTTAGACAATTAAGTTTAAAATTGTGAATAATTTATCATTAGTTAATGATTTAAAACTTTGTAGAATTTTT